GGGGGGACTGGGAGGGACTGGGAGGGACTGGGGGGACTGGGAGGGACTGGGGACACTGGGAGGGTTCTGCCCCTGATCACAGACCCCAGTGTGGACCCTGACACCGGAACTGGTAGTGGGGGGACTGGGAGGGACTGGGAAGGACTGGGAGAGGGGCTCGGGGCACTGGGAGGGACTGGGAGGGTCCTGCCCCTGATCACAGACCCCAGTGTGGACCCTGACACCGGAACTGGTACTGGGGGGACTGGGGGGACTGGGAGAGGGGCTTGAGGGGACTGGGAGGGACTGGAGGGGACTAATGTGGGACTGGGGGGCACTAAGGGGAACTGGAAGGGACTGGGACAGACTGGGAGGGACTGGGGGGGACGGGAGGGGACTGAGTGACTGGGGGGGACCAATGTGGGACTGGGGGGCACTAGGGGGGACTGGGGGGACTGGGAGGGACTGGGAGGGACTGGAGGGCACTGGAAGGGACCAGTGTGGGACTGGGATGGGGGGAGTGTCCCTGTGGGTGGCACTGGGTGACACTGGGGGACAGTGGGGTGGCTCAGGGTGACACTGGGTGATACTGGGGTGACACTGGGTGATACTGGGGTGACACTGGGTGATACTGGGTGGCACTGGGTGACACTGGGGTGGCTGTGGATGACAGGAGAGTGTCCCTGTCTCCAGGAGCAGTGAAGGTGACCCCGGGTCACAGTGCCCAGGACTGGGGGTGGCACTGGGTGATACTGGGTGACACTGGGGTGGCTGTAGGTGACCCCGGGTGTGTCCCCAGGGGCGGTGAAGGTGACCCCTGGTCACAGTGTCCCTGACCTGGCCCTGGCCCGAGCCCACGGGCTGCCCCTGCTCTCGGTCATCAACGACGACGGGACCCTCAACCCACCGGGGGGGGGGGTGGCTGCAGGTACGGACCCAAAATGGCCCCAAAGTGTCCCCAAATTGTCCCTAAACTGTCCCTGAGTGTGTCCCCAAACTGGTCCCAAACTGTTCCTAAATGTGTCCCCAAATTGTCCCTAAACTGTCCCTGAATGTGTCCCCAAACTGTCGCTTAATGTGGCTCCAAACTGGTCCCAAACTGTCCCTAAATGTATCCCCAAATTGTCCCCAAACTGTCCCTGAATGTGTCCCCAAACTGGCCCCAAAAGTGTCCCCAAAGCGTCTCTAAACTGTCTGTGAACTGTCCCTAAATGTTTCCCCAAACTGTCCCTAAATGTGTCTCTAAACTGGCCCTGAAGTGTCCCCTCTGTGTCCATAATTCCTGTGTCCCCATTAATGTCCCCCCAATGTCCTCCAATGTCCCCCAATGTCCCCTCAATGTCCCCCCAATGACCCCAAATCCCCCCAAATGACCCCAAATGTCCCCCCCAATGTCCCCCAATGTCCCCAAATCCCCCCCAATGTCCCCCCAA